AATAGATTTTATTTACCAACACTTTGCAGGAGTGGTCTATACCCATTTAAAAAATGACTCAAAACGGTTTGCGAAGTTCATTTTCCACTTTTTAAAAGTGTTTTAAAATCAGTTGTATAAAATACTAAACAACTGGTATGCCATGTAGTTGTGTGATGATGGCAATAACAAATATGACATTGTAAAATATGGTAATAAAATTAGGTTATTGCGTGAGATTGAAGGGAACATAGCTTAACTGTAGTCCATACTTTTCTTTTTAAGATCACCTGCTTATCATGATTTGGAGAATTAGATATTAAAGCTGACATGCAATTAAATTTTAAAAACGAACCCACTTCCATCAAAAAATGGGTTCAAGTATAAGGAAGTAAACCTTCCTGTTTGACATTTATATCTAGTAATATCTTGTGGATGAGGAAACATGCACTTAAGGAAAGCATGCACACATAACACCAGTGCAGGAAATCCCTGGATTGTCATAGTTTTTCTCAGTGGAGTACAGGAGTATTGTGCAATAGCTCTTGCACTGATAGCAGATTCTTCTATCTAATCACTTTACAGGGCACTTGGGGGTTGGGTCATACTATTTGACAGATACAAGAAGACATACAATAAATGCAGGACGTTCTGCACACTGCCTCAACCTGCTTTTGCCCTGCCAGGTGTTAACAATTGCCACTAGAGGAGGGAAGCTTAATTCCTTGGGGTTTCATTCGATCGCCACAGAGAATCCGTAGGTGTTGAGGAGTTTACTACCATTTTTAATCAGATGCTTTTATCTGAGACTCTGTTCGTACTGATCTCTGCATCAGCTTCTCTGTTGATCGACTTGGGTGCCAAGACATATAGGTCTTGACTTGGAATGAGTTGGCAAAAATGTCACTGAATTTTATAGGAAGAAATCACACGATAAATCCTGTGGAAGTATATGTTTTTATAATCAGAAGTAATTCCGTTTACAGTGGGATTTATTCTTCGAGGAATGTGTGCAAAGGATTGCAGCCATGGCTTGATAATTAGCTGGTGGATTGCAAAGGAATGTGAGCCCAGAATTCCATTATTGCATGCTTTTCCTTCCCTGTTTTTTAAAATAATGCAGGAAAATGATAGCTAAGCGTGATCAGATTTCTATTTGATCTTTTTGTTCACTGTTTCTTGTAGCATAAGTAAGGAAACAATTTTAGAATTATGGGGTTCTGCTATCCATATTTAATTAAACAGATGTAGGCATGCTCAATTTAAGTTGTAGGAAATGCTACTTAATTTGGTTGTCAGAAATTATTTTGACACAGATTTACACTGCAGATAAACACATTTCACTACAGTAGTAGACAAATGATTGGCTATAATCCTCAATTACATCCAGGAATTGCACATCATCCATACATATAGAATGAGGTGTTGCTCTGAAGAGAAAATACGGTACAAATATAAAAAGTGTGCATTTTATATTAAATGGTATTTGTTATATCAATGGAAAAGGAATCCATATAAACATAATCACTAGTTTGAGTTGCAATGCTCTTCCACATCTGTATTGTATATCCAAAATGTATAGATTATATCTGTTTTTTGGACTCTGTTTTATGTGCAAAACTCCTATATTTCTTAAATGTACAGTTCAATGCACACATATTTAAGTGTGCTGTAAAGTGTGCTTGTCATTTGGTTCTTTAGTAGTGACATACATCCAAAGACAAAATGCTTTCTTGTCATAAACTCTTTTCCTTACATGCAAAATGCATTCTCATCTCCAAGGAGAAAGATGAAAAATGAAAATTAGTATGCATAAACATTTGAGTATTTCACCATATTGCAGCACAGATTTCATGAATGAAATTCCTGTATCATGACTAGCTGTTAACCAATAAAATGGTAAGAATTCCTTCATCTTCTGTGAAAATGTTTCTAAACCAGTGAGTGAAAGCAGTAGAAGGTGGGGGGGGGAGAAGAGCGGGCAGGGGGTGTCATTTGCCACTTGGCTGGATTTGTTGTAACCTACATTTTCAATGGATTAGGTTTCTATCCAAATTGAATCGTTTACTCTTAGTTTACTCATTTCTCAATTTAAGAAGTTTCTTCTGCCTTGTTGGTTCTGTTGCGGGAAAGTAGAAATCATGTTCCCAAATACATCCTTCAACTGCTCTTCATGCTGACTGATATTTGATGTTTTTATTTTTAAAGAAGTATAAAATTTATAAAAAATATAAATGTCAGAATTCAGTTTAATCTTATATAAAATTTTCTAACCCAGGGAGGTTGTCTATAATTTTAATAGTTCTGCATTGTGGAAAAAACTGATTTTTGGTGTAGTGATGGAAGTCACAACTATCAATTCTGCTGTAGTAAAGGAGATTCCCTCCACCCTGCATTTCACTGCAGTTTAGTATTCAGTATGGATGTTGTCCAATGCCCAATAATTCTAGGAAAAATTAAAATACGATTCCTTCAGCATTGAAGTCATATTCATATAGTAACAGAGTTAAGTTCCTTCTGGTATTTATCTACAAGAATCTCATCTAAATTTGAAGCTTTGTAATATTTGCAAAAAAGTTGTAAGACATGCACAGCAACACAATAAGAGGTTTTAGATCTGGATGGGGAACAACAATAATAAAAGATATCACAACAGATAGATCTGAGAAGTGATTTATCCAAATAATGGGGCACAGAGAAAATACCAAAAAGTATGCCACTTGCTCAGGAATTTTGCTCCCCTGGTCCCAGCCACCACCAAGAGTGTAGGTATATTAAAGAACTTTGGGACATGCAGCAATTTGCTCAGGGTTTCTCATTCTCTGCACATTTCAAAGGATCTCACTTATCATTATTAATCTGGAAATAGTGCCCAATTTTATAACACAGATGGCACTTAGTGTTTAATAAAGCTGATAAAAAATACACTTTGTTTTTAACATGTGCCCTGGGTGTTTGTTTATTTAAAATATTTGTATGCCGCCCTTCAAAGCTGTTTTCCTTGAGTTGCTTGGAACACTGTGAAATTATTATACATATATAGATACATATAAAAAATGCAAGGAGAGCCAGTTTGGTGTAGTGGTTAAGGCACCCGACTAGAAACTGGGAGACCATGAGTTCTAGTCCTGCCTTAGGCATGAAGCCAGCTGGGTGACCTTGGGCCAGTCACTCTCTCCCAGCCCTAGGATGAAGAAGGCGATGGCAATTTCTGAAATCTTGCCAAGAAAACTGGAGGGACTTGTCCAGGCAG